GGGGAGGACTTGCCAAAGGAGCAATGACCTCTGCCAGCCCTTCTGCCTGGGAGGAAGTCGCCCCTCCACCTCTCGCCCCAATTTCAGGCAGGTTAGTTCCTCCCCAAATGTCCCAGGTTCCTTTCAAGCTGCTGCCTGGTGCTGGGCTCAGAGGGAGCACGTCNCAGGTTCCTTTCAAGCTGCTGCCTGGTGCTGGGCTCAGAAGGAGCGCGTCTGAGTGAGTTGGTGCGTGGGCCCTTTAAGAGGAAAGCCTGGGGCTCCTGCAGCCTCCGTGACTCTCAGCGATAGTCCCTGCTGGTTTTCACAGCCCGAAGTTTTGGGGACATCTCTTCCCTGCCCTGGGCTGGGGGCCTGCTGAGGGGCTGGGACCCCTCGCTCCTCCGGGAAACCTCCACCCCGAGATGTCCCTCCTGGGTTTACACTGCAGCACTGGGTGTGGGCCTGTGGCGCTTCTCCAATTCAGTCCCAGTCTGCCCGAGTCTCCGCCCCTCCTACCGCTCTTGGTGCTTCTTCAGTTCCCTGGTTGTAGGGCTTTTGTTCAGCCAGATTTCAGGAGGTTCAGAGTGATGATTGTTCTGTATTTTAGTTGTAATTTTGATGTGGTTGGGGGAGGTGGCGGGTGCAGCTGTTACCTACGCCGCCATCTTGTTTCTCTATCCCCTCCTACCAGTCTTGATTTGACTTACTTACTTTTTAATCCTTGCCCGAGGATAATTTTTTCCCTCTGCTTTTCTGAGAAAGAGAAGAGAGAGAGACACATCAATTGGTTGCCTCCCACACGCGCTCTGACCAGGCTACGAATAGAGCCTGAAACTGAAGTACGTGCCCTTAGTTGGAATCGAACCTGGGACCCTTCAGTCTGCAGGCCATCGTTCTAACCGCTGAGCGAAACTGGCCACGGCTTGATATGGCTTCTTTGGATCCTTGGTTATAGGACTTTTGATCACTTAGACTTAAGGTGGTTCTCAGTGATGGTTCTGTAGTGTAGTTGTAATTTTAATTTGGTCGTAGGAGGTGAGCACAGCATTTACCTACCCTGCCATCTTGACCAAAAGCTCAAAGCCCCCAGGTCACTTCTACCAAACTCTGATGCTGCTTCCAGTTCTATTTGTCCTTCACTTAAATCTTCATCATTTCTATTGTTTAAATGGCTGAAAGAGACCCTGGTGGTCCNATGTTTTGTGATTGCCAAACATAACCTTTTGTCTGTCACCTTACCACTCTCAGCTCCATTTCTTCCCAAATTCCTCAATTTTCTTCACTTATTCTTAGGTATATTAATGGACTTTCTCTGCCTCTAACATAAGTGAAGCATTTTTTCCCTCCAGTAACAACATTGTCTTTATTTGTTGGCTTTATTAGATAATGGTATGTTGATGAGTAAAGAGATAATAGTTTTCTGCCTGTAGGCTTGTACTCTTGGAGGTACACTTATCTGGTCCATCTTAACCCTTCTTACCAAGATCAAGACCAGTGCTAGAAGTTGGATGACTATGAACATATCAAAAGTACTTTTTGTGGGATCTGAAGAATGTGCTTCAAGTCTCCATGAAAAGAAGTCATGCTGGTTTACACATCAGTGTGTGAAAACGTGGCAGAGTGTGCCTAAAATAGTCCAGTAATACTAGTTAGTTCAGTGTTTGTTGTCTAACCTGGACCTTAGCCATCACATAGAATACTTTTGCTGCAAGCAGGTATGTTCAGTTTTAAGAATGAAAAGGAAACATTTCTCCTAGTTTTTTACCACCCAAGCAGTGACAGTTGCTCAAATGTCAAGAAGGGAACACTGTCGTAGAAAACATCTCTCCCTTGTGGGGCTTCAGGAGGAACCTACCCAAGGTATAGGCTGTTCAAATTATAAAATGACCCTCAAGTCCATTGCTGTTTTTTTGTTTTGTTTTGTTTTGTTTTTTTACTATATCTTTATTGATTTCAGAGAGAGGAAGGGAGAGGGAGAGAGAAACATCAATGATGAGAGAGTCGTCATTGATCGGCTGCCTCCTGCACACCTGACTGAGGATCCAGCCCGCAACCCGGGCATGTGCCCTGACCGGGAATTGAACCCCGATCGCCTGGATCCTAGGTTGACGCTCAACCGCTGAGCCATGCCCTGCCGGGCAAGTCCATTGCTTTTAAGTCAGGGAGTCCTAAGTACCTTTTCTTTTGTCTTGTACATTTCTCACTAATATATTTATCTCATGCTTTGAGTAGTTTGAAATATTTTTCTTATAGATCCATTTCATAGAAAAGTGGTTTGCCTGTAATAGGGATTGAATCATAGTTTTATTTAAAGAATGATTCTGGAAGTGAAGCTTAAGCTTGCTCAGTATATCTAGTTATGACTAAAATAGTATAAGCAAAGTTCACAGCTTATCTAGTCTCTTCAACTTGGCCATTAACTTCATTATATCTTCACTGTCATTTCTTTGAAAACAAAGTGACTGAGTGGATTGGTTTGGGTTTTGCTCCCATTCTCTTCCTGCTGTTTGCCTTCAGATAGGGGTACAAGCTCGTTTCATTGGCCAAAGCATGGATCCATTTTGGAAGACAAGATCTCAGTGCAGTGAAGAGAAGGGAGATAAGCCAGTGAACATATTGGGGCTTATTCAAGTTCCAGGACTGCATCCTGATAACTGATTAATAATAGCAATGACGTTAAAAATAAGTGACAATAAAAATACTGATATATTTCTATATTTTGGTCTTTGAAGGCAAGCAGAGTGCTGGTGGCATCCCGTAATTTTGCAAACGATGCTACATTTGAAATTAAGGTAAGAGGTGTTTTACTTGTGTTGATAACTTTTCCATAGGTCTACTTTGATACATAGTTTTACCTTTGGAACAGAACATTTGATATTCATGCTTTTTCACCATTTTCTCTGAAATGTTTTAGAATCAAAGGTTCAGAGACATTTACCAAAAATTAGAATTTACACTTCTTACTTAGCAGCTTGCTAGTGTTTGGGATGGAAGGGCAAGCTAAACAAATTAAAGACTCCAAAGTTTAGAGTGTGATTAGGTAAAACTTTTGAACGAGAAGATTCTTCTAATACTTCTTTGAAAGGTTTTCTTTCAACCTATAACTCATTTGACTTCTAAGGGTTTTCACTGAAAGTTATCTTAGAAAGATTTCCTTCCTTCAGTACCCCATCCCATTGCACAGTGAGCTTTATGATGTAAGGGGTCAGAAGCAATATGCAGCATTTCTGATGTGCCCCTGAGGGTTTTTCAGTTAAGTATTATTTGTGATGGAATTAGATCTTCGAATGGGTTGGCAGTGTTTACATTATGGTAACTGGAAGACAACGGATTCTGTTTCAGAAGTGTGACCTTCACCGGCTGGAAGAGGGCCCTCCTGTCACAACGGTGCTCACCAGGGAGGATGGGCTCAGATACTACAGGATGATGCAAACTGTTCGCCGAATGGAGTTAAAGGCAGATCAGCTGTATAAACAAAAAATTATTCGCGGTTTCTGCCACTTGTGTGATGGTCAGGTGAGTGGTAGTTTTGTTATAAAATTGTGTTACTTAGGAATTTAAGTGTGGCTTCTACTTAGGGGCTGTTACCTGCCCTTTTATATCCGAAGGATTCCAGGCTGGAATTTTAGAATTAAAATTAAAATGCTGAGACCTGCTATGAGGCTTATGGTAAAGAATTTATTCATGCATCACATTGCTGATTTCCTATGCCTTTATGGTATTGTGATTACCTGTATTGGATATACTTTTGGGGTAAAGGGCTTTTTGTTTCTTGTGTGTGGGGAGGGTGGTTAGACCAAGAGCTACAAATTCAAATGCCTACAGCGACCAGCTGGGTAGGACAAATGAGTGAAGAAGGCCAGCTATACAAAATAGAGAGTGGTGACAAGGACTGGTGGTGAACTGGAATGAATAGGTCCTACTTCCAGGGGATGTCATGACTTGGTTCCAGCCGGTTGATGTCATATGGAAATATGGGGCTAATGCTTCCTGTTGTTTGTTTCTTTAAGATAAGACCGAAGACTTGATTTTCATGTGAGATTGCCTCTATTTTAATGTTGACATCTGATTTGGGATTTTTTTTTTTTTTTAAATCACCTTACAGACCAAAGAAAACACATCTGTGGATTGCCAGTTTATGGCTGCTGGCTTGCGCCTTACCCTCCACTCTGTTTCTGATGATAGAGCTGCTTTCTGTGGTTATTAATGAAGTGTATAACTAGGCCAATTGTTTCATATTAGTCTAGGAAACCTTTGATCTAGAAATGTGTATTGTATTGACTAATTGCTGCTTCTTCCTTTAATGCAGGAAGCTTGTTGTGTGGGCATGGAAGCTGGCATAAATCCCACAGACCATCTGATCACAGCCTATCGGGCTCATGGCTTTACCTTTACTCGTGGGCTTTCTGTACGAGAAATTCTCGCAGAGCTTACAGGTTTGCTATTAAGTTTTCAAATCTCTCCTATTAAGATGCTGACTCTTATGAGTTAATACTAAAACCTTTTGAGTTAAAAAAATACAAACATTCTCTCCCTTTTGGTGTTCTGGTACCTCTGTTGTGCTTTTGAGTAAACTGACCATTTTTTAGGTCATCCGAGCCCCCAGGTTAAAGTTTAAAAATATTAGCTCTATGAAATCAGAATTGTGTTTATTATCAATGTAGCATGCCAGCAGAAAGCTAGCAGTCATTGAGTAGAAGCATTTCGTGGTAAGCAGTGTAACTTCTAGGAAACTTCTTAGTATTTCCTTTGTCTTTGTCCATCTTGACTCTTGAACTATTTAGTATACCAGTGTAGGAAAAATTGGATGTTTGTAACTGGCCCCCTTCCTCCCCCCCCCCAAAAAGTCCAGTGTACTACGCTAATATCTGAGGGAAGCTCAGTGATTAGAGAGCTGGGAAGTTTGGAAAGGTCAATGGCATGGGACTGGTCTGACCTTTATTATAAAAGGACCTGGAGAAAAGGAGGAATGTGTTTGCATAGAGGGACAGGTGCTTATGCAACTTAATTGGCCTCTGAGTTCTAATGGATGAGCCTCTAAGTAAATGCCTGGGTGTGGTTTGGTTTTGTATGGTTGGCCTTTGATGCATGTGTGTGCTGCCATTTCTAGGGCGAAGAGGAGGTTGTGCTAAAGGAAAAGGAGGATCAATGCATATGTATGCCAAGAATTTCTACGGGGGCAATGGCATCGTTGGAGCTCAGGTAGCCAAGGATGAAGACTGCGTGCTTTCCTAGACTTGGCCCTGGCCTGTGTGTTTACAATAGTTCATACCTCAGATAACTTCCCTCTAATGTATTTTAGTAGTCTTGGGACTTAGAGTGCTTAACAGACCTATCGCTTCATACCCTACCATTTGATCGTTTAATATATTTGGACAATGATTTAAAATATTTCCTTTTAGGTATTTGTTATGTTTTATAAGCAACCAAGAACCCATAGCACTGGAGCTATACCTGTTTATTTATATTTAAGTATATTAATTGCTTTGTCACATCCACTTTGCCCTACCTCTTCTCTCGACAATGCTGATGCTGATTTCAGACCAGGAGAGGCAAGTGATCAGGATCTCAGGACCTAAATAGAATCTTAACACCAACTTCGGTGGTTATGTGGTCCTCCTTGTTTTTATCAGTTAGCGAATAATGAAGAAGTAACAGCATAAAATCATATCTAGATGGTTTGGTTTACTTTCTAATATATTGAGATTTGTACAATATTTTTTTTTATGCCTAGGTTTTATTTTTTGGCTCTTTAGAACCTTTGAGCACAGAAATGTTGTTGCTTAATGGCTGAGAGTATAATTACTCATCTTACTCTACTGGTTTGTTTATAATATTGGGGGTGGGGTAAGCAGAGCACGTTGGGGTAGGGAGAGTTTATAGCAACAGTATAATTTCTATCTGAATTTCTGGCCAGGAGTAAAAATGCAGAGCACTAATTTCTCCCTTCATGGATTTCTGTGCTTCCTTTCTTGGTTGTCCTTAATACTAGGTGCCCCTGGGAGCTGGGATTGCTCTGGCCTGTAAGTATAATGGAAAAGATGAGGTCTGTTTGACTTTATATGGCGATGGCGCTGCTAATCAGGTGAGTATGTGCCTCTTAACTTTCTAATAACGATTAGAGTTTTTTTCCCAAAGTGCTGGCTATTCATAGGTCAGTTTGTAGGGAAGATATTACTAGTTGAAATAGCCATTCACATGGCAAGCTAAATTTTGGTTTTATGGCCAGATTAGACATTTGCCTCTTGGCATGTTTCGCAAGTGCTTTATAGGGATATACTCCTGTGAGGAAACTCTCCTTTGCACTACCTCAGTGCTTCACAAACTGTAGTAAGGGACCTTTTTATATTTTAACCCATTGCAAACCAATTATTAAACCAGTACTGTAATGTACAGACTCAGGCTCTTATAGGCCTTGGCATTTCCAAACTCCTCTCATAGTTTCTGAGCCTTGACTCTCTCTGCGCTTCTCCAATCATGGTTTGAGGTGTCGCTAGTCTGTGGGTGACATTCTGTGAGCCCTGCTCTGGATGCTGATTCTTAGATACTTGTTCGCTCTGGTTATCCAGTGGGTCTCTTAGAACTTAAAATAAAGCATAAAAGTAGGTAGCCACACATTTTTACATGTTGTTCTTTTTCCCCATCTATACTGCTGCCTTGGCCCCAAAGAAATGAGTGGTGCTGTTTGGTTTTTCACTTCCCTTAGTTGCAAATGATGATGCTTGCTGCGTCTCCACCCCCCCCACTCCTTTCCTCAGAAATTTTTTTTTTTTTTAAATATATCTTTATTGATTTCAGAGAGAGGAAAGGAGAGGGGGGGAGAGAGAGAAACATCAATGATGAGTCATTGATCGAGCCCACAACCCGGGCATGTGCCCTGACCGGGAATCAAACCCCGATCGCCTGGATCCTAGGTTGACGCTCAACCGCTGAGCCACGCCCGGCCAGGCCCTCAGAAACTTGGTTGTAGAAGATGTAGCTTTTTATACTTTATGAAAGCTTTCTCTGCCAGGTATAGCAGCAGCTTTTAGGGTGATGAAGTCTGGAGAAAAATAGCAAAATGAATCCACTTGAACTTCTTATACATACTTCCAGGGTCAGATATTTGAAGCTTACAATATGGCAGCTTTGTGGAAATTACCCTGTATCTTCATCTGTGAAAATAACCGCTATGGAATGGGAACATCTGTTGAGAGAGCAGCAGCCAGCACTGATTACTACAAGAGAGGCGACTTCATTCCTGGGCTGAGGGTAAGGACACCTGTTGTAGAGCCAGGGCTACACCTTCACAGCTCCATGCCTCTGTGTACATTTGACAACTTAAGACAAATTGAAGAGTTTTATTTTCTTAGTGCAGGAACAGCTCATGTAGAATTAAAATGGTCTTAGGCAGTTTGACTTATGCTCTGCCCCTTTGCCATGTATTAACAGGTAGATGGAATGGATGTCCTGTGTGTCCGGGAGGCAACAAAGTTTGCAGCTGCCCATTGTAGGTCTGGAAAGGTAAGATTTTCTCTTAGGTCTCTGGGCTAGAGATTTCTAATGATGTTTATCCTAAAGTTAAAAGAATGCCTCCCTCATACAAAAGAATGTCTGTTGTAGGTATACAGGGGTAGCTGCTGAGGTGCATAAGATAGAAGCAGAGTCCGGTCAAATGAATCAGGCCCCTTAATAGTGTCGTCTTGGGTAGCTTACCACATTGCCCCCATTTGGGGTAAATCTTTTCTTCTAGTGCTTCCTCAGCATTTTGCCTGTGTCTTCATCATGACGCTTTATGTAGTTTGCCTTTTGGTTTGGTTAATTATGTGCCTCCAATTCCCCATAAACTATAAGCTCCAGTGAACAGATTGTGGACCCCCGCAATGCTCAACAGAAAACTTGGCTTATATAATAGGCATTCAGTATAAGTTTGTCTATAAGTTTAATACTATGGTTGAAGTATGTAACCTTAGTCTTGCTGTTCCAGCCCTCAGAATCTTGACCTTTCAGTTGTGCAATGCAGAGGGGAACAGTGAGGTTGGCCTGACAGGAGTATGTGCCGTCAGAGCTAGTGGAAAGATGTTCTTCCTAAATCAGTGTTCTGCAGCCCAGAAAGCATGGCCAGAGGTTCACCTTTCAGTGACTTCGCCTGTGTGTGTGTGTCTGGGAAGTAAGGTAAATTAAGATTTGGCTAGTGATGAAAATGAAAGAAGGGGGATTAAAGCAGCCAAGGAAATGCAGAGCAGTTAAAGAGAAAACGAGAATAAAAGAGAGCATGACAAAGGTGGCAGATTGGTGCCAGCAGGTTCAGCAGTCTACATCAGGACTGCAGAACTCTGGGTCCAGGCCTTGGGTGGTAGGTACCATCCCCTTCTCCCAGTTTCTGAAAGAGGTGGGGTCCAACCCCACACAGAAACAGGATCAGTGGTTTGTAGCATGTGTTGACTTTCCTAGCCTGACCAAAGCCCGATCTTGGAATTAGGGAGGGTCTGGAAACCCGCTTATCACCACCCCCTTTACCTAAACCACTGTGCTTCCGAATGGCTGCTGGATGACATAACAGAAAGAAGAGGTGACAGTTATTGAGGGATTGATGTATGTCAGGTAACTTACGTGCTGAGTACTTTTTATGTATTTAATTAGCACAACTCTGAGTTAGGTCATTACTGTTTTGCACATGAGGATAGTGAGGCAGAGAACACTTAAAGGTACATAGTATCTCTTACAGCCAGGATTGGAACCCAAATACTTGGACTCAGAGTCCCCCTTTTTAACTGTAAGACCATACTGCCCAGGGATCCTAGATCTATTTCCCTCTCTTCTGTGTTCAAAGGTTTGTTTTTGTAGGGAGCTAGTGTTTTATGAGCAAGCTACCTGATGGTAGCTGGGCTGGCCAGATTCCCAGCAGAGTCACGGGGTCAAGTATCAGGGTGCCTGCCAGCTGTTACACACCAGCCAGATGCATGTGTAGCAGGATTGGTTGCCAGCCCCTATGAAGCACTGCCTGAAATGGGTGTGAGGTGGAAATTCACCTCCCTAGCCTATCTTGAGTTCTCCCATCCTTTTGTACTCTCCAGCACACTTAGATTTGCTTGTAATCTTACTTTGTTCGAGTTTTAGTATTTTTCTCTAGCATTTTAAAAGGATCAGAATACTTATAGATGTCACCTGTGACTGGGGGAGAAAGACTAGCCTAGTGACCCTGAAGATAAGAGCCATACCTGCTTTCTAATAGGTTTTTCTTCCTTAAACCTAAGCTGTGTTTATAGGATTACACGAGAAATGGAATGCTGATGCAACAAACAATGCTTTATTTTAATATTAGTAGGCACTGTAACATGCAAAGTGCCTTTTTGATTCCAAATAAACGGTGGCAGATTCCTGTTTAAAATGAGAAGAAACATGCAGTTAATCTGTGTTAGAAATGAGAACAGAGAAGTTAAGAAGCAGTCAACTAATAAGGAATTCCTGACAACTCGAGGATATGTTTGATTCTACAAGTGTGTGCCTTTGGCCTAACCTAAGCTCCCTTGGGTTCTGCTTTAGGGGCCCATACTGATGGAGCTGCAGACTTACCGTTACCATGGACACAGCATGAGTGATCCTGGAGTCAGGTATGGTTGTGGGAAATATGACTGTGGTGTCTAAAGTGGGGTGGACTTTGAACGGTGCTATTCGCATGAAAAAGCAAAGCATTTCAACATTTGCTTTTGAAATCAGACACCAGTTGGCTTCAAGTAGTTATTTGAGTCCTGGCCAGAAAGCAGTGCCTCCCAATAAATTGGTTGCAGTATAGAAAGCATTCTGAAAAATCCCTACTATATATAGTATCTACATGTTAGTATGGGCACCGATAAAATAAAATAAAATTGCAGAGAGAAATTGTTCCATAAAGCAGGTCTGATGGTAACATTAGTATATTGGGGGGCATTACCCCAAATTGTTTCATGGCATGTTTTTCCTAGAGAATTTGAAAATGTTCTTCTGGCTAGTATGGAGTGAGACTAACTGGCACATGGGGCATTCAGTATGTTGAAATAGATGAGTCACAAAAAGATAGGGTACACTAGAAGATAGGAGTTTTACTTGTCACTTAGTAACTCTAGCATGAAATGCTGTAGTCCCTAAGTGTGACACAAAAGTAGCAGGTTTAGTCAAAGTAAGCGGTAACAAGCCTTTGAGTGTAGAGTGGAGTTCTAAGGGAAAATGTACATTCTGTAATTCCGTTTTCAAAAAAAAGGTAGTCCTTGCTTTTAGTGTTATTTCAGATGATGTGTGTGACAAGGATGTATTATAGATTCGAGAATTGGAAAACCTGTTACCTAAATTTTTGCTGGCCACACTCCTCGGTGGGCTTATGGGAGAAGGGAAAGGCACATTTATTTCCTGCTCGACATTCTTCTTCCTGCAAGTCTGCGGTTATCACCACACAAGAACCACCTCCACTGTCCCCACCCACGTGAAATTTAGGAGCTCAAAAGGGTGGAACAGTTGGCACAGAAAAAGGCTCCACCATTTTCTTCAGACCCTACATCTAGATCAAATCTGCAAAAAAAGAGACTTGGCTCCTGCAGTCAGAATGCTGGAGAAGCCAGGTGAATTACTTGCCAGTATAGAGTTTTCTATAGAAGATATAATATAGCAGCTCTTACAGAATGGTAGGCTGAGTTCTTGTGCTTTAATTCTGCCATTCCATCAGTGACATAGATATTGATGAGAGCTCCATCTCAGGAACATACTTCCATGTATCACAGAACTCTTTGCTATACTGGAACTGTTCTTAACTACTTCTGTGTTTCACTCCCTGTAGTTACCGTACACGAGAAGAAATTCAGGAAGTAAGAAGTAAGAGTGACCCTATCATGCTTCTCAAGGATAGAATGGTGAACAGCAATCTTGCCAGCGTTGAAGAGTTAAAGGTATTGTCACTCTTGATGGTTTAAAAGTGGGCTTTCCTTTCTGAGCAATCAGTTTTTCTCCACACAAATAGCCGCCACTCCCTAGTGAAGTACCTCATGGGAAAGTATCTGTTATCACAGGACATTAGTCATATTTGCCAAGCCTTTTAAACCTCCCAAGAGCACAATTCTTTTTTCCTAGAAATAGACTTTGGGTGTTCCCTCAGCAGGATATGTGTGTGTGTGTATAATTACTTTAAATGTCGATGTCTGTACTACAAAATGTTCCTGGGTATATCATTGTGTCATTTAGTTAAAAAAATGACATCTTTGAAGATAGCAGCTATTTATTAGTACTAGAAGAAGAATTAGTTATACTAGCGACAGGATCTGAGTAGAACTAGTTGGTACTTAAACTGTTGTTTCTTCAAAAATCTCTTGAACTATAATCTGGTTTTTAGGAAATTGATGTTGAAGTGAGGAAAGAAATTGAGGATGCCGCCCAATTTGCTACAGCTGATCCTGAACCACCTTTGGAAGAACTAGGCTATCACATCTACTCCAACGAGCCACCTTTTGAAGTTCGGGGTGCAAATCAGTGGATCAAATTTAAGTCCATCAGTTAATAGGAGTCTGCATGTAATGGATGGTTACACCTTAAGGAACTCTTGTTCTCACCCATAGAATGTATGTAGATTAAGATAGAAATTGCATGCGGTTTATACAGTGTTGCATTAAAAGTTATGTTAGATTTGTATAGGTCTAAATAGGTAACACAGACTTTGTTTAACCTTCCTTCAAATTATTTCCTTAAAATAGTTCTATTTGATTTAGCTGTACACTATGCAGGGGCTCATTCCTGTCTCTGGCCCAACCCCACAGCTAACAACAGCGTACATTAATACACACACATGCATCTGTGAATGTGCATGTTGATGAGGAAGACTGCTCACACTCACTACCATTGCTGCTTAATATACATTTAAAATTGGGCAGTGGGTAGAAGGACAATACATTTTTAAATAGGACTACTTCACAATCATTGCAAAGGCTAAATAACTTGGTTATCTGCATTTATACGTTCAATATAAACAAAGCTGAAAAAGGAAAATAGCTTGAACTGCAATTAACCAGTTACTATTAACTTATAACCTAAAACAGTGATTCCCAGCCTTTTTGTTATTTTAAACAAACACCCATTGTTTTACCTTTGCAGCAAGTTACAGGGTGTGATTTTTTTCATTGAAGTAAACTAAAATTCATTTTTTAAAGAATTCTGTAATACTCTGGGTGTCAAAAGTGGGGCTCACAATCACTGTTCTCACAACAGCTCTACTCACCGTTAAAACATTTCATTAGTTCTTTAGAACTTCAAATTTTTAAATTGTTCAAAATGAGAAACTTTAACAAAGATGTTGGCTCCTCTATCCCTGGCTTGGCTGATTGGTTAAGCCTTATCTTGGGTCTCCGGGGCCTCCTGAGTCTGTCTTCTGTACTGGGAGACTGCTGTCCAGATGCTGCAGAAGAGCCCACCACTAGGAAACAAAAACAAGAGTCTTAAGAGTCAAAAGAAAACTTCAAAGCAAAATGCTTCTTTAGGAGCCCTTTAGTATATGATTCTAGGCTTGTCTAGATTTGCCATCTCGTCTTAAAAACTTAGCTAAAATAGGAATGTGTTCTTTTCATATATGGAGGTGACACTTGTGCCCCAGCAGGAGTGGGACATGGCCTTAGAGGTATATGTAAGCATGATCTGTGCAGAGCAGCCCATTTAAGATGACACGGGAACCAGAATGCAGGTTGCAGTTTTAAGAAGGGTTTGGGTGTAGTGAGGAAGGGGGAGAGTGCTTCTCCTTTGCCTTCTTGCTTTTCCTACAAGGCCTTTAGCTTCTGCCACCTCTTGGCTTTACTCCCAGCTTGAAACTGGGAAAAATGCAGTTTGGAGTTTTCTGACTAAGCTGTAGAAAAAGGAATTTCAATGAAGGGGGGAAAGGCAGCAGCACTTTGTTTTCTACTTAATTTAAAAGCATAATCACATGGAAAGTCCTTCTCTGTTGTACAAAATGTTCTGAGGCTGTTCTTACCAGAGTCCAAGGTATCTGAGGTCTTCCTTAGTGATGTCATTAAGAATATCAGAAAGTGTATAACCTTCTTTAACTATCTGAAATAAAGATCAAATACATAGGAGTTAAGCAGATTTGTAATAATAGCACAGGAATGGTTTTTTTGGTTATAAATTTACCTTTTCAATAGTATTCGCATCTGCTCCTTGCAGTTGCAACCACTCTACAAGCTCTTGATCTGTTCTCTGCCCACAAGATGATGCTGGGTTCTCTGTAATAATTAGAAGTTTGTTTTATTGTATATTGATGTATAACAATAAAACTTCAAAAGTGACTAGGTGGATGAAATAAACTATTCCAGAATGTAAATGTGATGTGAACAGGAAATGAATTGAGCCTGTCTCAGTTGCTCTACTGCACAGTGTACTTGGATTCATTCTCCACAGTCAAATAATCCTTACCTATGACCTTTAGTTAGTTTGGAACTTGGTTACCTATCACTTTAAATGCTTATTTCCATTTTTAAAATGCCTTTTCTCAGGAGTCACATCCCTAACTGCACTGAAAACAAAGGAGGAAATAGGTTTTGCTGAGATTTTGCATTAGACCTCATTTTGTAAGCAGCACAGAATGAACAAGGCAGGTTTACTGAGGTGTAACCTATGCAGTAAACCAACCTTTTTAAGGTATGCAGCACAGTCATGTGACCACTACAGTCAAGATACAGAAATTTCTATCACCCTAAAAAGTTCTTGTGGTCTTTTATAATCAGTCCCCCTTGCCCATTCTGATTTGTTTTCTGTCCCTATAGTTTTACCTTTAACAGAATGCTGTTAATATTCTATATTTATGGAGTCATAGTGTGTAGCCTTTTGAATCTGGCTTCTTTCACTTAGCATAACATTTGTGATTCATCATGTTTTTAATGTACCAGTAGTTCCTTTTTATTATTGATTAGTATTCTAGAATCTACTGGAGTACTTAATTGAGATTATTCCCTATAACTAGAATATTAGCCAGCTTTTAAACAGTCTTTCACACAGACGTAAGTCAGAGCAAGTAGAAAGTCACTCACCATTAGATTTGAATTGTGACTGAAGGTGATGCAATGCTTGAGTTTTCTGTTCTAGGGTTTGCTGTATAAGATTCTGATTCTCTCTTTCTGTTTGAAGTAGGTGTTCCAAAAGTCTGGTTAAAAAAAAAAAAAAAAAGCCATTATCCAAAGAGAGTCTAACAACATTCAACTCAACTCAAACGTGTTGAACATTAGAGATTGAAAGAAATGGCACAATCCCAATGGTCAGTCTCGTTTCTTAAAAGTTCCATGATCAGGTTTTAGTCTGCACATGGGCAAATTCCTTGTTTCCTCCCCTTGAAAAAAAGACTCATGCTCAGGGCAAAAGTATATTTTGTCTCAAAATGTGTCATGAACCAAAAGATAACCAGTGGAACTCAGCCAGAATGATCTGATAACTTCAACTTGTCTCCCTAAGTCAGATCAAGTCACTGAAACTAGTGGTCAGGCTCTTCCCTCCTCCCAGGGGACTAAGCCAAGGAGTTAGAAGCCATGTTCCTGCTGCACAGAAACTGGTCTCACAGATGCTCATAACCAGTTATCCTCAGGCAGCACTACTTCGGGCAGTAGGCACCATCTTCCTGCTCTCCCCAACAATAGCTAACGCACCTCCATCCTGCAAGGGCATTTGTGTTTTGTAGGGATTCAGTGTTTGTCAGGCATTTGCAGTTGGTGCTGGCTGCTATTTACTAATTCTACCGAGGCTGGTAACATCAACAATGGAGAAAAATCATCTTTGAATCTATATATATATATAAAACATATATATATATAAAAAACATTTTTTGAATTGGTGATTATAAACTTTACCAGAAAAACATTTTTAAAAGTGCTAAGTATTACTGTCAACTTTCACATTTGTCATATTTCAAACTTTAAAAATTTTGCCACCACTGCATTAATTAAAACTCCAGGTCTTTCTAAAAAGGATTATATCTGCTTAAGATTAAACATCAGAGATCCCTAGTGGTATATACAGCTTTTCTTCCAAAATATGTACACCTGGCACCTTACCAGTTAAATATTAATCAGTGTTATGGATGATCATACGGCAAAAAGGCATCATTTGGAACCAATACCAGCTTGTTCACTATAGCTGTGGCTCATACTTTTCTTAGATCCATGATGTGATTTCCCCCAGAGAAAACAGGAATCATTTTATTCTCTTAATAAGTATTTTTTGAGCACCTACTATGTGTCAGGAAGTGAATAAAACAGACCAGCTTTGGGGGGAACCTCACAACAGTGCCAGGTTCCCTTGGCTGGGAAGGCAGTCCACGAATGCCCACCGAGGGGATCATGACAAACTTCCTTGGGGTCAGGGTTATGGGCCACACACCACTGCGAAGTGCTAACCAGTCCTCAACTCGGCTACTTCTGTAGAGGTGGGCTGCAGATGTCCACTGCTGAGCCTGCTGGACCCACAGGCCATGCCAGGGGCCCTATTTGGTGAAAAGACACAGAGAAAGAACTGAGATGCTGCTGCCTTTAATATGGCTAAGTACTCTGCAGCCTGGATTCCCAATATTAAAGGGAGGCATTTAATCTGCCAGCTGAAGCTGAGAATACCCCCTTGCCCAGTTCCTTGGTGGTGAAGATTCTTTTCTGAGACCTAGGTGAGGCACTCAACAACTAAATCGCCTTGCTGGTCCAGGCCATTGTCCCACCCCTGCTGACCTGTTGGTCTCCTGCCTCAGACTGCCCAGCTGGAGGCTCAGGTCCTGCTGGAGCTCCTGGGGCTGGACAACTGCTAAAGTGTGTCTGGCCCCTCCATGTATTGCATGTGCTTCTTTTCCAGGTGGGTCTGCTGGGGGACTGTCCTGGCCCATCTCATCCAGGCCCTTATTCACCCCTTCTGTCTCCAAGGCGGGCTCAAAGTAGGCTTGGAGCTCTGCAAAATCATGGAAGAAGAAAGGACCAAGGTTCAACAAGGCCGGGGCCTTGTGTAGCTTATATCCTGTGCCAGCAAACAAGGCTAGCCCTGCCAATGTGACTCTCTACTGGGACTGTGATTTTATAAATGGAGAGGGACTATTTCACTCAGTTCTCTGCAGTGCAAAGGTGATGAGACCGTTTAAAGATGAGGAAACTGAGGCTTAAAATGTTAAGTTAGCCAAGGGAAGCCTAGCTGTACCTTTTTAAAAAGGTACAGCTAGGCTTCCCACCTGGCTTGTATACTTTTACTACAGAAAGTTGCCGGCTTGGAGTGGGGAGTAATGCAGTCCTGGAGATTAAAGAGCTTCTCCTGGAAGATGGAAGCTGAGCCTGGCTACTGTGCATTCAGGGGAGCAGGCAGAAGACGGAGGGACCGAAACCCAGAGAGGAAGTGGCAGTGTCAACACAAATTTTCCAAATCTCCCTTTGCAGGCAGAAGTCACCACAGAAAGAGAATCAACTTGGGTATTAAGCAGCGCTAACAGAGTTGACAAGAACAAATGATATCTAGAGCTACCATATGGTGATTCTGAGAGGAGACTGAGCCATTAAATCCTCATCCAACCGGCAAGTGTTCCTAAGGATGCACTGCAGGATCTATGCTTTTAGATCATGAGTTTAGTCTTGGTTAGACCCAGGGGGCACAGAAATACAGCACCAGGAGAAATTCTTAGAATCACAGGATCTTAGTCCCAAAGGGTCTGTGACAGTATTACTTTATTGCAGGGAAGTATAGCCAAGATAGGAAAGAGAATGCAACAACTGTTGAGCACAGACAACATTTCTGGTCTTTTCCATAGCCTGAAGTTGACCTTGACTGAGGAGCAGGCACTTACCTGAGATGAGAGTGGTGACTGCCGCCATCACTGCTCGCTGGATGATGTTTTCCATCGCAAACATCCAGTGGGGGTTTCTTAAGTGGCTCCTCACCATTTTATTCACCTATAAATCATAAGAACCCAGATTTTTGGTCTATTATACTTTTAAGAAATACGAGTTTTTACTAATTCTAATTTGCTTCTACTCTCTGAGATAAAGTGTTAACCATTTTGCTCTGCATTTCTACCCTACTTATGTTTCTTCCAGACTTTCTCCAAGCTGACCCTAAGTTGTGCTGGGGTCCAGGAGATGGGTACAGTGATCAGCTCTACCACACTGGGCCTCTTCACTGTTTATTCTCTGAGTACCTATGAAATGTCAGGCTATGTATTGGGGGCTTGGGACACAAAGCTCAGCCAGACATGGTCTCGGGCTTGGAACAACTCACATCTGTCTGGGCAGACACATAAGTTTAAACCCCAAACCTAGTCAGCTGGGAGATGCTACTTGTTCCCAAATCCTGCACTCATGCTATTTGTGGCTAAATGCAATTGGCCCGTTCACCAGTAATTGCATATTCAATGTTTAGAAGGAACTTCTAAAACCCAGATTCAGGTGTAAACAGGTGAGGAGAGATGGGGGCTGTGAGACAAAATGGTAACTGAACTCCAGAGGGTTGGCTATGAGCTGCTTCAATGGGCTACCTGCTTTCTGGCATGTCCTCTAGGGCCAGATAGAGTACTTACAACATTCTGAAATCCAAACAGTACCAGGAGAATCTGACTGAGGGACAAGCTGTCAAATTTCAGGTCCGCCTTTAGCTCTGATATCATGGATGCCATCACTCTGTGCTCCTGAGAGTAGATGAAGTCCCTCAGGATCCCAATTATTTGCTTGATGTGGTCGACTGAGAGGTACGGTTCTTCAGAATTCTGATCACACACACACGCACACAAAAATCACTTTCATTGTCAGACGCAAAATTCAATAAGCATTGTGGGAAACTAGATTTAACTAGATAGTCCATGTTTCATTTGCTAAGGAACTGTGGATGCCTCAGGTGAGACGAGGTGTCTCTTCCTGGAATTCCCTCCATCGTGCCTGTTAGAGAGTTATGTGGCCCCCCTTCTTGCTGGCCTACATACACATGAAACTAAGACCCCCTAGGAATGGTTCCGCCATCCGGTTTAACCCTTGTAAGCCCCCTCCCCCCCCCGAATAGGCCTTGTCAGAAGGGGCACTGGCCTCTTCCTAAAAGGACCTTTCCTTATGTAAAATAAGTTATAACTCCAATATTTTCATCCATAACCTTTCTCCCTAAAGTGGTTGTTCTCCCAGAGCACGGCAAGGGGTGAGAGCTCTTGGGCTTTGTGCTGCCATTTCGCTTGTTTTCCACCAGGGGCAGCACCACCCCATCCAAGCCTGGATTCACTGCAGTGTTCTGCAAACTGGCTTCAGTGGAGTTTTTTTGTTTTTTTCCCCCCTTTGTATTTTCGTTTTGTTTTGCTGGAGGGACAGACATTGGGAAATAGTTATGGTGATTACTGTAACTGCAAATGTTCCAGGGTAGCAGGAACCTTGATCCCCCTGGACCTGTTCCAGGACCTGGACATACTCCCCCCAGCCCGTACCTGGGCCAGGCACTCCTGCAGGTTGGAAGCCAACAGGTTCTGTCCCTCCCAGAGGATTTTGTACACTGTGGTACGACACTCCCTGTCCTTGTTCAGCAGGAAGTGACCCAGGTCCTTGTCTTCAGGGTTCAAGGCTGTGCTCTGGCCTGCCATGCTCTGATCTTCCGTGATCCAGCTCTCATCCTGAACACTGCGAGTACTGCGGACAAACATAGGTGACAACCTGTGTCCCAAGCAAAGCTGTACTCTAGGACCCAAGAGGTGACTCTGCAGTGTCACCTTCAAGAAGATAAAATTACAGGAGGCAGGCTGATGGAGGAGAAATGCAGTGTGTTTTCTATCTCCCT